TTTAATAATGTCTTTTCTAACGTTTCCTTTGTATAATCTCCTAGTAACTTTGATAGGTGCTAGTGTGCAATATAACCATTTCATGTTCTGTATTTCGTTGTAATGTCTAATATAATGAAATACACTGAAGTTAAAAAGTAAACCTTCAGTGTCATTTTCAATATTACCTGTTACTTTTTTTTTTTTAACTCCAGCTGTATTTTACCTTACTATTTTCTTTTAATTAATTCATCATATTATATATTGCTGTCTTATCAGGCAGTGCAGTTTTTCCAACGTTTCTGTAATTTTTCCTGGTAATATCTGGCACAATGAACACATTTCTAATTTATCTTATCTAGCAACAAACGATATTAATATTATTCTATATTAATCCTCGATTTCCTAGATTTTCCTCTTTATAGTAATGAAATGGACTTATTGACCTCTTATCAAATAGCCCATAATAATAATAACAGTTGTGATCCCGTCTTATTGTGAAGTCCGTCCTGTGGAGCGGAAGTCCTGTGCTGTGTGCTCCTTGTTGAGTCCAGCTTGACGGAGCGGCAGTCTGTGCGGAAGTTCTTTCATCCTGCAGGGGGAGAAGAAGAAGAGGCAGCCGCTGCTTCGTCTCAACTTTCCGCCCGAACACAACAAACCGTCCGGGGAGGAAACTCCGGAGCCCCGGGAACATCCGCACACCGCAGCCTATAGCAGCAGCTCCTCCGCCGGCCTCCGGTACACACGGTGAGTCGACGGCTCTCTGGCTGGCCTGCGGGGCCGCCTGCCCGGGGAAAGTACAGAAATCCCCGCGGCCTGCAGCTCTCGGTGCTAGCTGAGTGCGGGTGGCAGTGCGGGGGTGGCGGGGCTGTTTGCGGGAGAGATACCACTCAGAAGCGTCAAGGAGCGGCTTTTACATGTGCCGCATACGGTGCAAATTTCAAAATAAAACACCTCGCTGTGAAATCACTCTTTCAGCGCGTGCTAGTGAACCTCCAGGTTCACACAAATGTCTGTTCTAATTTATAATATTCGCCAAATCAAACTTTTGTGTGGTTAGTGCCCAGATAACCATCCTGTTGCCAACTTTTTAAGTTTCTTCCAGTATCTGGATTTCTCTGCCGTTTTATTTTGGAGGTGTAGCCTCACTAACTCCGCGGTGGTAACGGCTAACGGTGGCTAGCTTGCCGCAGCTAACCGCCGCGGAGCTGTAATCTCCATTTTAGCTCGGCGGTGTGTCCGGCCTCTCCCTGCTGTGAGTCCCAGCACGGCCTCTCCTCCTCCAGGTCCGCTCTCACCGCCTCGCCCCGGCCTTATCGGTTCTGTCACGGAGGGTTTGCCGGTGAGTGACAGCCGCTGAGGGTCCCACCGTGGGGTCCGCGGCGGCCCTGCGGGGGCGGTGAGTTCCAGTAAACGGAGGCTGACTGGTGGAGCTCTTATTCCGCAGCTTTCCAACACAGACTCTGGTGGAGACAGTCAACAGTTTACTGTAAACTGGTCTCTCAGCGGACTGTTTAGTTTGGACACATTCAGTTTAGAGTCGGACTCACCTGTGGGGGCTCATGGTGTTGTTGGGCCCCCGTGGCCCCCATCACACGTGAACATGTGGTCCCTCCATCAGGGCTGATCTGCTGACGGCTGGAGAGATTTATCACCTTCTCATAGTTTATTCACTGAACAATCAATCAGTTATCCGCGAAAACAACAAACATTTGAATAGAGAAATGGATAATTTTAGGTTTCAGCCTCACCGTTCTTCTGTGATGAAACTAAATGAGATGTTCTGGGTTAATGAGCTGTCACACAAACATGTAGTCATTTAATAAAACACAATATATGAGCTGAACATAAAAGTTTATAAATTTACTTATTGTCCGGATTAACAGATCAAATTGTTTGGTTTGTAAAATATCACCAAACCTTGTAAAAACAAGCCTTAATGACAGTTTCTGGTGTCCAGAGGAAAATAAAAACTTTATGTCATATTCATGACTTGGGCCTTGTCCACAGGTAGCAGGGTATCTCAAAACAAAGACATTTTTCTACGATTTCTCCCGTCATCCACAGGAAAGCACAGATTTATGGCTTTAAAAACGATTCTTTCAAAAACCTCCAACCAAAGTGAAGATTTATTCCCTTCATGCGTATTTACTCTTTGAGAGGTTTATACAACGTTAATTACTGAGTACTAAGGTAAACTATATATAACTATCTTGTTCATTATCTACTCTTTGGGGGGTTAATATGAC